AATAATAATAATAATAATAATAATAATAATAATAATAATAATAATAATAATAATAACAATAACAATAATAATAATAACAATAACAATAATAATAATAATAATAATAATAATAATTAAAAAAGATAGAAATTTACAACTTACTTGAGGTCGTGCATTTGCAACATCCAAATCGTGTAAAGAAACATCCTGGACAACTTCTTTCTTTTTGTGAACTTCACCTTTTGGTAAAGGAACATATTCCTCTGCTTCCAGATCAAATTCTGTAGCGTAAGCATCTGAACGACCAACACGCTAAAAGTGATCATTAATGTCGTTTGTCATTGAACAAAGACATTTTATTAATCACAAAATCCAACTTAGAGACAATAGTATTTACTTTCACTGCTCCCGTATTAGCCTCAATGTATATAACATCTCCAACGGTAACTCGTTCCTTCTGTATACTCTCAAAAATACTTGGATCCAATTTCAACTGCTTTGTGCCTTTAACAGTCTTTAGTCCGATAATCACATGAGCCAGGGTTTTTCCGTATCCACCCAATGGATTTTCTATTTCCTCGGGAGTGAGTTCAGTCACTTCGCCCTCATATACTTCCTTTGTTTCTTTTATTCGTAACCCTATTATCATCGAGAAGTAAAATAAATTTAATAATTTTTTTTTAATCAGAGAATGCTAGCTCATTTAAATAATCAACCTATAGCTCTCCGAAAGTTTTCCATGAGAACTTCGGTCTTTTTTACTTCAGTCGAATACACTTCACTTCCCACCATTGGACAGAAAGGAACCTTAGGACCAAGCTCTTGAGATATTGCAAGCGCTATAGCGGTTTTCCCTGTGCCTGGAGCACCAGCAAGAAGTAATGCACGACCAGCCATTTTCTTGCTCTTTATCAGGTCAACGAGAATACCGCATGCCTTTAATAAAACACAAAAAACTAAGCATTTGTTTTTTAACTTTTACGCGACAAGGTGCATAAACCTCTTATACCTCTCTAGCGGACTCTTGTCCCACAAAGCCGTCAGCTTGAGCATGTGCTCTACCGTCGTCACGTAGCCCAAGGCCTTTGATATGTGTGTGTGGCGCGATTCGTTGCTCGCGTGTTGTACTTTTTACTTCTGATATTCTCATTATAACAAATTTCTTGCTATCCCCTTGCGATTTTACGTTTTATATTACGTCATGAGTATCTTCAGCCAATCGTCGCGTTTAATAATTTTGATGAGATAGGACAGAAAAAAGTGAAATTTGAACAAGATGGCATCTTCTACCACGTAAGTATATAAAAGGAAATTTTATAAAGATAATTCATTTATTTAATTTTATCTTTTCCATTTTTGGTGTGTAGAAATAATCCAATTCAAAAAGATTTAAGTAAGTAGAATTAAATCTCTTTAAAAGACATCATGAAGTTATCACTAATCTTTATTGATCAGAGGAAGCGAGCGAACAATTTCAACAGCAAATATTAAATGCCTCAAATTATCAACTATCTCAAGCCAATCAATCTATTTCACAAGTCAGCAGTGGAATGACCAAAGTGCAAAAATCTCTTGAGGTACCAACTCAACCCCTACCCTTCCCCCCCCCCCCCACAAACGATTAGCCTCTGAATAATGATCAGTCTTACTGAACCAAAATTTCAAATTTTCAAATTTCCTAAGGATTAGGTATTGGGTGAGGAGACAGCAAGATTATCTATAAAATTGCCTCTCAGCATTTTTAATTAATAGTTCCAAGACGAATTTATGCATCAGTTTTCTCGTAATATCGCTTTTTTATCTTTGAGTGTCCGGGTCGATCAAAAAATTTTTGCGCATTCTTATTGGTTATTGGCAAAAATTTAAGCACGCCTATTGGATGAATTACTGATTAGGAAATTTGAAATTTGGTTCAGTAAAAACTGGTCCTGAACGAACATTTTTAATCGATTATTTTTTCCCTAAACAGGAAGCGCGGAGTAATATAAGGTCGCTAGAAAGAGAATTAAAATCCTTTAAAGAACATACAATGAAGTTCGATTCCAGTTTTGTTCCTTTAATTACTTTACCCAAAGAAGAATGGCCTTCTGCTAAATATGTAGCTAAATAAAATAAACAAATCGTATGATTAGATATTTTGAACATTATTTATAGCAACATGCAGATATTAAGGAGTACGCGTTAACACTTTTTTTTATAAATTAACGACCTCAAAGATCTATCTCTCAAAATACACAAATAGATCTTTTTTCAACTTCGTTTTTTGAACTGTTATAATATTTTCCCCATCGTCACCATCATGTCTTCCAATATCGAGATTGAATCGCTCAAAGCAAAATATGCTGCCGCTGGACAAGAGCATCTATTTTCTTTTTACGATGAACTTGGTCCAGAAGAGCAGAATTCGTTATTTGACCAATTATCAAAACTTGACGTTGAACGTGTCAACCGTATTTTTAAAAAAGCCGTTTCAGGCTCCGAAGCAGCTTCCGCGTCGCAACAAGCCAGTCTTGAACCTTTACCAGATGAAGTTTTTGACTCTGTTCTGGATGCGGATGAAGTGAAAATAAAAAATTGGGAGACGTTGGGCCTAAAATTGATCGCTGAAAATAAAGTAGCCGTCATATTAATGGCTGGCGGTCAGGGTACTCGTTTAGGTTCGAGTGCACCAAAAGGCTGTTATGATATTCGTTTGCCTTCTGCAAAGTCATTATTTCAGCTTCAAGCAGAACGTATTCTGAGACTTCAAAAGTACGCCCAGGAAACTACTGAGACCGTTTCAAAGGTGATTATACCTTGGTATGTCATGACCAGTGGCCCAACAAGACCAGCCACCGAAGCATTCTTCAAGGAACATAATTTCTTTGGCCTCCAAGAAGAGAATGTGATCTTTTTTGAGCAAGGTAACGATCATAACATTTGAATATTACATTATAAGCATATAAATGTATAATCATACATTGTCCTTTTACTCTAAAAATAAAAAGGTACTTTGCCTGCTTTGACCAATGATGGTAAAATATTTTTGGAAACCAAATCAAAAGTGAGTTTACGATTCTAATTTACTGTGTAAGTATAAAAAAAAAGTTTAGTAATTAATTCCCGATTCTCCATTTTCTTATTCTATAATCAGCTTGCCATTGCTCCCGATGGTAATGGTGGAATTTATGCGGCATTACGTTACGAAGGAGTATTAGATTCATTGAAGACGCGTAATATCTCATATGTTCACGCTTATTGCGTCGATAACTGTTTGGTTCGCGTTGCTGATCCGGTATTTATCGGATATTGCGTTTCCAAGAATGCTGATTGTGGCGCCAAGGTCGTTCGAAAATCATCTCCCGAGGAACCCGTAGGTGTGATTGCTATCAAAAACGGAAAATTTAACGTTGTAGAATATAGTGAAATTGATCCCGCTATTGCCGCTACAACAACCCCCAATGGTCAATTGGCTTATCGTGCTGCGAACATTGCGAATCATTTTTACACTGTCGATTTCCTTAATCGTGTCGAGTCATTTGAGAATGAACTCGAATATCACATTGCCAGAAAGAAGATCAAGCATGTTGATATTACCACTGGTGAATTAGTCTCGCCTAGTAAACCCAATGGAATGAAACTCGAACTATTTGTGTTTGACGTGTTTCCATTCACCGAAAATATGGCAGTTTTCGAAGTCGACCGAAAAGAAGAATTCTCTCCACTCAAGAATGCCCCAGGCACTGGAGTTGATGATCCCGAAACTAGTCGACGCGACATTATTAATCAACATATCCGATTTGTCGAGCGCGCTGGTGGCAAAGTTGTTGCTGGTGACGGGGAATCTTCAACAGATCTGTTAAATTTTGAGATCTCACCGTTGGTTACATATGCTGGTGAAGGATTAGACGGTTTAAAGAACATAACAATCCGTACTCCTGCGGTTATTGAGACAGTGGCCGATCTTGACAAATTAATTCATTAATAGTCGAAAAAAATATATTAATAACACAAAAGGAAAAAGTGCTATTGAACTTTTTAATTTATTGACAGCACATTTTCAAAAAATTTTGTTTTTTTCACTCGATTTATTTATTTTATTTAGAGATGCGCATTGCGCTTAGTTTTATTAATTTTTTTTAATGCTTTTTTTCTTGATTTATTTTGAATTTTTTGAATTGTTAAAAAAAACCAATTCTATAATATAATATATTATTACTGGCGAAAAAATTAATAGATCCGATCCCGTGATACAACAGAAAATTCTGCATTTTTGTTTATAAATTTTTTCCATCGACATAATATTCTTACACCAAAAAATGGCACAACCCACATTATACCCACTTTACAAAGAAATATTCCCACCAACAGTGGTAGAACATGTAATATGCGCGAACTTCACGGGAGCAGACGTTAAAAACTTGATAATAGCGAAAGCATCTGTATTGCAAATTTATAAATTCGTTGAAGACGATTTTGTTACTGTTCTTGGTAGTGGTGAAAGTGTTAGCGCTAGTAATGTCAACGAAGGCAATAAGAGTGATGGCGTTGAAATTAGTGGTGCTGCTGCCAGTGACTCAGTGGCTCCCTCTGTTTCTTCTGGAGTAGTTGTTACTGCTGCTCAAGAAGAAATGGAGGGAATAAAAGAGAATGAAATGAAGCAACCAAATATTAATAATAATAATGACAACGAAAAGAAGGAAAAAGGGAACGAGGTATGAAATGAATAATAGTTTAAGATAGTAATTTGAAATAGGAGAAATGGGGTTTTATTCTTGTATATATTTTGTATAGCGTTATATAAAATTTTTAATTTAGATTATTATTATTATTATTATTATCAACCACAAGGTGTGCCATAAAGCTTGATCTCGCTACTCGCTTTTGATCTTTAACTTTCTAAAAAGAAAATTTTATAGTTTTTCTCTTTTATTTAATTATAGATAATTTTGATTTGACCAAAAAATAATATAATAATAATAAAGTGTAATTAATAATAATTCAAAATTCATCAAATAATAAAAAGCAATTTTTTAACAACACAACTATTACAAATTGATCGATTCAGTAATTTTAGTATTTTTGTTGCAACTGTTTTCTATAAGAATTAGTTCTATTGACCCATACGCGTGTAATCCTCTTTTTCAGGGTCACGTGTCTAATGCTGCCACTGCTGAAACGCCTACTACTTTTCAGTCAAAAACTACCATGATATCGATGAGCGCACATCTAGAACTTATTGCACAGTATAAACTTCATGGTAATATTGCTTCGATGGGAATTGTGAAGACAATAACGTCGGCTGCAAAAGGATTGGACAGTCTGATCTTGAGTTTCAAGGATGCAAAGGTTAAGTAAGAAGAGAGATTTGATTTTTTTTTTGATTCTGTGTCTCAAATCATTGGTGAGCATAGTTCGTGACACGCGTTTATTTTTACTTAACTAGATGTCGTTGTTAGAATTTTCGTTGGCTACTAATAGCGTAGTCACCGTTTCTATACATTATTATGAAAGGGATGAACTTAAGGTTAGTTAGCCTTAAAGTTGATCAAATCGAACGAGGTTTTATAAAATGAATATAATACTAAATCAATTGAACACTTATTATATAAACAGCGCGAATTCTTATCCAATCCGTGTCCAACAGAGCTTCGGGTTGACCCATCAAATCGTTGTGCCATATTAAATTTCTATTGTGATCGATTAGCGATTCTTCCTTTTCGACAGGAAGAATCTTTGCATTTAGATGAAGAAGAAGTGGCCAGGTGAGAAAATAAGGTGTAAGGATTACGATCGTTTCAGTTATCATGAGACTGTAATATAATGTTCCATCCGTGTAGTAAGTGGCCGTATTTACCTAGTTTTGTGGTGGATCTGACGACCATACATCCGAGGCTCAAGAATATGATCGATATGGAATTCTTGAATGATTATTATGAACCAACTTTAGCTATACTTTTTGAACCAATTCAAACTTGGCCAGGGTACGAAAAGTTTTTTTTTGTTGTTATTAATTGATTGTCTCATATTATGCCGAATTGCTAATACTCAAATGATCAATTCCTCAATATAATGACAGGAAATTATTATCAAAAAAAGATTCATGTTCTTTAGTAGTAGTCTCGATTGATCTTTCACAAAAACTATATCCAATAATCTATTCAATGGACAAACTTCCACATTCTTGTGTGAAATTAGTCCCAATCCCAAAACCAGTTGGTGGAATATTAATAATAACGGCAAACTCATTAATTCACGTGAATCAAACCTCGTTATTCGGAGTTGCTGTGAACGGATATGCATCATCAGCGACAGACATCCCACTGGATTATTCACAAGAACATTTTGGGTTAAGTTTGGAGGGATCACAGTATGTCGTTCTTGATTCGCAGAGAGTTCTACTCTGCTTGCGGAATGGTAATCTGTATTTAGTTGAGCTGCAATTAGAAGGAAGACAGGTTTCCGGGATAAAAATCTATGAAGCTGGGTCATCTACTTTGCCATCTTGTGCTTGTCGGATAAATGATCGATATCTCTTTTTAGGCTCAAGATTAGGTGATTCTTACTTGATGCAATATAAAATAGCACAGGTAGATGAAGAGAGAATGATTGAAAAATCGAAGGACTATAATCAGACTACGAAAAAACATGAGGCGATGGAAACAGGTAACCCTTCTAAGTATTGTTTTAATTGTCAAATGAAAATATCATTAAATACAACGATCGTATAGATATTCACGAAAGGGCCGAATCAAAAGATAAAAACAACAACGACAAAAATAACAACCCCAATATAAGTGATAATATTAAAAATGGTAAATCAAAAGAGAACACAAAAAAAGAGGAAGAATCATTTAATGGCATTGACGTAAAAGTGTGTGATACTCTGCTCAACGTTGGACCTATTTCTGATATGGTTTATGGTGAGCCAGTATATCCTGAGGTAAAATCTTATTGCAATTTCTCTGTTAAATCGAATTTAATAGACATATATATATTTATTTATTTATTGTTTTCCAGGGTTTCGATAATAGTCTACGCAAAGAACTGGAATTGGTAATGTGCTCTGGAGACGGAAAAATGGGTGCTCTTTATGTGTTTCATGTAAGAGATAATTGCTATTTTTTTCCTCTTTATGTGCATATATTCATTCCCTTAAAATTTATGGATAATTAGCGTAATATTAGTCCACGACTAATTAGCACCTTCAGGCTAGATCAATGTCAAAATATGTGGACAGTAAACTGTCGTAGAGAAAATCAATTCGAGGGAGTAAATATTGAGCCGGGGGAACACATATTGCAAGAGGAGGAAAACTCGTTTGATAAATATCTCTTTATTTCTTTGGATGTACGAACTATGGTTAGTTATTTTATATCATTTTGTTTTGTCGCTTTTTATAGTCGATTGAACATGGATGAGTACAATTATAAGGATAAAATGATTTCTATGATGTCCTATAAGATGGAATTTAAAATGCTTGATTATTGAGGTGTTATTACATAGAATCCGACTATAAGTGGTCTGATATATAATCTTTATTGATGCATTGATCATTAATTCTTCAAAAAAAAAAGGTACTAGCAATAGGCGAAAATCTTCAGGAACTTGAACATTCCGAATTTTATGCTGATGGACCTTCTATCGCAGTTGGTACTTTGTTGAATGATTTACGAATTGTGCAAGTGTATTCTGGTGGAATATATTTATTGGATGCTGGTATTATATTCTCATATTTCCTCGTCCATTTTTTACCTCTCTCGTTTGAACATAATATCAATCATATCTTTTTTCTCTGTTTATAGATTGTAAATTGACACAGTTTCTACCAATAGAAGAGGAAGAAGATCCTCCTAAAGAATCATCTTTTTCATCAATTGTATATGCGAGTATTGTGGATCCATATATTTTATTGTTATTTGAAAATGGAAAAATCAACATGTTTAAGATCGATGAGAGAACGAAAGACCTGGATTGTCATCCCCGGCCTGCACAAATCAATGTTAGATTTTTAATGTTTTTTGACATTTTTAATGTTTTTTGATATATTATTGTGTTTGGTGCTAATAAATTATCTAATACAATTAGGATATTCCCATACAGTCATGCTGTATTTACAAAGATGATACTGGTACATTTGCAACAATACAAGAAATAAAAAAAATAATACCACAGAGACCAATAAAGAGGAAAAGAAGGGATGAAACGCAAGCTAAAGAAAAAAAAGAAGAGGAAGCGAAAAGGAAGAAAGAACAGGATCATACTCAAAAGAATATGGAAATGGCTGCTACGAACACTTTATCATCATTATCTTCTTCTTTACCAATAGACATTGATGATCAAATTGATAAAGAACTTTATGGTGATGCGGAAGATCCTGCTGATCACTTACCCAATGAAGAAGAACAACACAAAGAACGAGGTGGAACTGGAGATGACGGGCAAGAAGGAAAAGTTAAAGATGATGATAATATGGATATTGAAGTTGAAAGTAATAACCAACAAGTGCAACAAGAAACTGAGCAAGAACAAGCAAAAGATGATCAAAATCGAGAAACAACTTCTTTTGTCAATATTCCGGTCAACACTACTACTTATTGGTGTACGTTACACAGGAATGATGGATCTTTGGAGGTAGATATTTTGTTTTCGTTTTATACTATTTATTTTTTTTTGAAATTTGTCATTTGTGAATAATTGTCATTCGATTTTTTCGATAGATTTATAAATTACCAGAATTTGAACAAGTGTTTTACAGTCCACATTTTGATTTATCGCCAGCTTGTTTATCAGACGCGGTCATTCGTCAAACATTAAAAACACCGACATCTTCGAATGAGGTCAATGAGATGACAATGATGAATATGGGTGCAAAAATAAAACATCCTTATATTATAGTAAATTTTACATTTTTAGGTTCAACTTTAATTTGATTTTAATCTTTAATGATAAGTTCATATTAAATATTTATTGTTGGATAGTCACGTTCGCATACAGGCGATATTGTGATCTATCGAGCATTTAGATACATGCCCAGTGATGAGCCTTCGTCCGAAACTACCACCACATTGAATGTTCCTAATTTAGAAGAATACCCGACACGACTAGCACTACGATTTTCGCGAGTACCTCATGAATATGTCACCCGCGAACCAATTCATAGTGATATTCACGATAAACCAGTAGATATGAATGGCTCATCAACATCGATCCATCCCGATGAAGATGACGAAGAATACGATCCAACATCGTCATCTCCATCGTTGAAAAAACGTCGGTCATTTCAATTGGTGACATTTAATAATATAGCTGGATATGCGGGTGTATTTCTGTCTGGTGTGAAACCAGCTTGGTTGATTTGCTCGGGAAAGAGCTATCTAAGATTTCATCCGATGGTTACTGATGGTGGTGTTAAATGCTTTACGCAATTTCATAATGTTAATTGTCAACATGGATTTTTGTATGCTAATCGGAAAGTAAGTATTTTGTTGATTTACTTATTGATCAGCTCATTGAGAATCGAATTTTTTATAATATCCTTTAGGATTCCTGTCGAATGTCGGAGTTACCTTCAGATTTATCTTACGATATGGAATGGGCATTGAGAAAAGTTCATCTCGGTCGAACTGTGCATGAAGTTGAATATCATCCAGAAATGCAAGTATATGTCACTATGACATCCAGACCTATTCCTTTTCATATACGAGATGAAAATGGTGATCCGATTGACGGAGAGCATGGTATATTTTTTTTAAATTTAGAAAATTTCTTTGTATTTTTCTAATATTTATTTAATCGTTATTGTTTCACAGATCCTGCACATTTCTGTCCTGACACTTATCGATATTTTCTCGAATTGCTATCACCAGTTACATGGGAGACTGTTGATTAGTAAGTAGTGTTGGTAATGGAATTAGTATTCTCCATTGAATATTGATCTATTTTCCTATTTAGTCATGAATTCAATGAAGATGAGCAAGGGCTCTGTGTCAAATGTGTAAATCTGCATACAAAATCAACAGCAAGTGGTCGAAAATCATTTGTCGCTGTAGGCACAGGATACTTTAGAGGAGAAGATGTTGGCATGAGAGGAACTGTATGTATGCGTATGCGTATGCGTATTTGTATTTGTCTTTTACTTTAAATTAATTGACTTATAAATTAAATAATAATTAAATAATTAAAAAACAGATATATATATTTGAAATAGTCGAAGTTGTCCCAGAGCCAGACAATCCTCAAACAAATCACAAATATAAAATGCTATGTTTTGAAGATACTAAAGGCTCGGTGACCGCGATATGTGACGTGAATGGATATTTGTTGACTTGCGTTGGACCAAAAGTAAAGCCAATTAATTTTTTTATTTTTTAATTTAACTTATTTCGTAATGTATTTAATCATTTATCAAACTTTAGATTTTCATCCGCGCCTTTGAAGATAACGATCGACTAATAAGTGTCGCCTTTATCGATATCCAAATATATGTAAATAGTGTGGTGTCAATCAAGGACTTTATATTGGTGGGTGATGTGTATAAGAGTATTTGGTTTTTAGGGTTTCAGGTAATTATTCTTTCTTGTTTTGTGAGTTTTATAAGTTAGTCTAATTTGATATATCTTAATAGGAGGAACCTGCGAAATTAGCATTACTCGGTAAAGATCCTCACGATTTGGAAGTAGTTACCGCGAACTTTATGCTTGATAAAAAGATGTTATATTTTGTTGTGTCGGATGTTGATAAAAATGTACATTTATTTCAGTATGCTCCATATAGTAAGTATAATAATCACAAAAAATCCTTTGTTATTTGTATAATCACCAAATTTTTTACTTTCAAATTCAAAAACAAAAAATTAGATCTTCAATCATCTTCTGGCCAACGACTGTTAAAACGGGGAGATTTTCATGTAGGATCCCAGGTGAAGGCGATGCTAATGATGCCTCATCGTGAAGTATCACGACGTGAAGCTGACCTTGAAAAGGATCGGGAAAGCGGCCGTAATGAAGATGATTATTCTGATTGGGAGGCGATAAAAAGACTATGTCTGTGCGGTAATATTCGTGAAATTATTGATTATTTTGATTTTTAATGTTCTCTTAATCTTTTCATGTGAATAACTTTTTTTTCATTTCATTTAGGCACTTTGGATGGAAGTATAGGAATCGTTACTCCGATCCCAGAAAGAATGTACAAACGAATGCTTCCCCTCTATTCTCAGTTAGTTAATGGGATACAGCATCCAGCCGGACTCAACCCAAAAGCGTACAGGTAATTTAACTCTGTTGTATTAAGCTTAAAATATAAATCCTGTCAAATATACTTTTTCACTCAAAAGAAATATACCCAAAATTCTTTTTTGATCACATAAACCCATTAGGCTGCTCCATTCAAAACATAGATTGCGCATGAACCCTGCAAAAGGAGTGCTAGACGGCGATCTTTTATTCCAGTTTTTGAATTTGTCGTTGAATCGACAACGTGAGATGACGAAACAGATTGGAACTAATCTTGAAAGACTAATGGACGATTTTTTGTCGCTGCAGATTTCTTGTGATTATTTTTAGATCAATCAAATTCAATGAAGTGAATTAATGTATTTTAGTTTGTCCACATAAAGTATTTTATTACTAACAATAAATCCTTTCTAAAATCAAAGTGAGTTGAACAATCTCTGATATTTTTGATCATTAGTAATAAATATATTTGGATGCGTTAAAGTGGAGACAAATTTGACCAATCAATTACAAGGTTTAAAGTTGGGATGCGCTAACATCCAATAGCACATATTGCGCATATGCAGATCTTATATTTAGAGAAATTTGCCAAGAAACTAAATGTTTTTGTATAATTGATTTTTATTTAAAATAGTAATTAGAGTAAAACTTGCTATGTTAAGAAAATACTATATATATTGAGAATCAAAAAAGGATGTACTAAATATTATGTGCAATAATTAAACATTATTATGGTCCGGTGCAAAAAGATTTCAAATTTTAACTAATCTTTATAATTTTTTTAAGAATGATCTAAATTAACTTTTTGTATTATTCTAATTTAATAACAAATAAAACATTATTTTACTAAAAAACTAAAAATAAAATTATTTTTTTTTAAAAAAAAAGATATTTTAAATATTATCACCATCAATTTGTAAGATTAGAACTTCAAATTATACAAGTAGATTATTCTAGATTTGATAAATATATATTCTAAATTTCATAAAAATTAAATTAGTAGTTATAAAAATATTAAGATTCAAAATTAAGTAATTAAATTATTTATTATATAATTTTTATATTAATTTTAATTAAATAAAATTTAAGAAATAATAATTAAAAAAGTTATTATTAGTAAAAATTTTTTTTATAAAAGATATATAATAAAAATTAAATTTTATTTTGAAAAAATAATTTATTAATATTTATTTGAGATATAAATCTTTTTGTATCAATTCATATTTATTATTATTCTAAATAATATATTATTATATAATATATTTAATTTATATATTTTTTATATATAAAGTATTATATTAGCTATTTATAATTTTTATAAGATGAAAACAAGAATTCTTTTTAATGAAATTATATACAGTGGCAATCAAAAATAATGCAACGCTTAAATTTTTTACTAATTATAATTAGTAAAATACGTATTTTTC